TTTTTATTTTCTTGAATTCTAAAGAGACAGAGGATCAAAAAATCTCAACGTTTTTACATTCTTTAATTACAAACCATTTCATCTGCGTGAATGTACCTTAAAGAAAAGGCAGCACAAGAGACTTACAGTATCTTTGTTATTAGTCTATTGGTATTGAGCTGCTTCTGAATTAACTCCTTGCAGTCAGATTCACTGATTGGGTACCTGTCCAGGTTAATGCCAAAAGTGATTAGAACTTCAAGTATCCACATTTGAAAGCCTATTCTAAATCCAGTAGGGAGCACATGTTGTTTCTCAGACCAGGAATCTCATCATGTAAGACAGAGGCCATTACCAGAGCCAAACAAAATGGAGCCATGAGCAGGGAGCAGTGGAGTGTGTGTTCTCATTTATCATTCTTTACTTGGAAGGAGAGAAGTGTCCTTCCTTGTGCTCATGACCTCCCCATGAAGGACCTGTCAGCACTCTGCAGCCTGGACCCAAGAGCACTGGCTGCCATGCAGGTGTTTTCTGATTCCTCTGTGTTCTTTTTAATCCAGAGCACATCTGCAAGGTCACCTCTCTCTGTAAAACCAAGGCTATAGTGTCTTAAGTTTTAGCCAGAGGAGTGAGCTAGTAAAGCCAAGACCAGAAAAGATGGCACTTTGAAAAACTAAATATTAATGTCATAGTCACTCCTTTGTTATTTAATAGTCATTTAAAAAATTCCACTGCCTTAGCTATCCAGAGGGAAGTTAAAAAAAAAAAAAAAAAAAGCTTCAGTCACAGGAAAGCCAGAGCTCTGTGGGGCAGCCACACTCCTGAGGCCAAAAGTATACAGGCCTCAGTAACTGAAACAAAAGTGAGCATCAAGAAGATAAAGCACAGAAAGATTCCTGGCTACTCTACTTGCAGAGCTATACCTTGAACTTTTGAGAAGATGGCCCTTGGTTATGGGATGATGCCTATTTGTGTTGTTGTGACATGATGTCATACTTGTGTTTTAGCTTCATACAAGGCCTATGTGCAGTTTGGAAGAGTAGTTTTTAATGCTGTGAAATGATAAAACCACCACCCTTACTCCAAAAGCTTTTCCAAGTAGCTGTGTCTTATGCACTCAGTATCCAACTCAGCCTATCAAGTTCTGGGGAATCTGGGGGATTCGTCCAAATAAACCCACCTCCAGTCCATTTGGTAAATGTTCAGTGAATATCAACTTATTTTCATTACTATTAACCCAAGCAAAACATAATGACAGCCAAACCTGCTACTTCTCACCCCCTTCCAAAGGCATCCAGGAGTCAAATATTGAGGATTAATTCTCTTCAGTTGTTAAATGATTTGGAGGCTGCTTCAAAAGGTTTTGCCAGTCAGAGGGGGAACTGTAAGGTGGTGTGATTTCTTAACATAGACACACACATGCTGGCCCTTTCACTCACCATATTAGGAGACCAGAAATTTAGTTGAATGCACCCTTAATTGCTACTGATCTTCCCCCAGCCACTTCCCAACCATCTTGGAACACCTCTCTGGGAATTGCCTCTTTTATAATACTCTAATTAGTAGCTAATCAAACTCCTCTGTAGATAGATCTGATTTGGGGAAGCAACCAAGTCTAGTGAGGAAGGACGCTGAATCAAGCTAGAGTGTACCATTTGAGGTAGGGTGCAAATTATGACTATTTAAAGAATCGATCAATCTTGTCATATTGTATGTAATTTTATTCTGAAAGCATTTATTAAAGAGAAGTGGCAAAAATGTTTTAAATAGTCTTCATCATCAGAGAACCCTTCCTAAGGGAAACATAAGTCCTAACAGGTTTTGGTTTTTATTGTTTTTTAATCTATTTTATTATGTTTAGTTATTAGAGTTATAAACTGCTCACCTTTCTCGATGGTAGTTACGTTTAATAGGTTTGGCTATTCCTTAGCAAATTTATAAGCTTTTCTGATGTTACCTCAAAATATGGTTGTTAACAGATTTATTTTCTAACCTGCTCAAAAATAATAGGGGTGTTACACAAGGTTGAATGACCCACTTGCCTAATGGGTCTGGCATAAACCAGTGGAGAGGCAGGAGACTACCATGCCCAGTTCTGAAGGAGGTAGACTTACACTGTCTGGATTCCATTGCACAGGTACTGAGTCAGAGGGTAGCCTAAGAATTCCCGACCCACAAACACATCTTTGAAGTTGAAGCAGTTAAGCAATATCCCATAGCTTAAGAAAGTGAAGACAAAATCAATAAGGGAGAGAACAATTTGGTCCCCTGTCCCATTGGTATAGAGTATCATTTGCCCCTTCAGGGGCTTGTTTGGATCAGACCATAAAGAAAAAGAAGAAGATAGAAAAAGGTCCTCAGGGTGACCCTCCAGCATACATCTTAAATCAGGTTGGGGTGGAGACACCATTTACCCCAGGTTCCTGACTCATGCTCCTTCCAGTCCCTGGTATCCAGGAGGGCAGATCTAAAAATGCTCTTTCCCTTCATTGAGTGACATCTATTGGGTCATAAGGAGCTTTAGTTAACAACTGATCTAACGGTCTCTTAGGAAACAAAAGCCTAGAAGTGACCTGCCCAAGGTCATTCATTAGTCAGTAGCAGGATTGGGAGAAGTGTTCTTTTCACCAGTCAGCATCATTCACTGACAGGAAGCTTTGGCCAGCTGCTGAAAATGATTTTAAGAGCAGCTTGTGAATAGATCAGTGAAGGAGCTCTGTGGCTCAAGATTTCCTTGACAAGAAAACCAAAAAAACCAAACTCACTGCCATGGAGTTGGATCCGACTCATAGCGACCCCCCTTGTGTTTCCAAGGTGGTATCACTATGGAAGTAGACTGCCCAACCTTCCTTCCAAGAAGTGGCTGGTGGGTTTGAACCCCCAACCTTCTGGTTAGCAGTCAAATGCCTTAGGTACTATGCCACCAGAACTCAGCAAATTTTCCAATAAAGCTCTAGGGAGATGCACCCCTTAGATCAACTAGCTGTGAGACATCAGAGGGGCAGCATCCACATAGAGGGAAAGCTGGACAGACAAGAATACATAGATAAAAAGGGCAGAGGGAGGAGAAAGAGGGAGAGGTTTTTATGGTTGGGGATCGTAACTGGGACCATGACATCAACTGTGCATGAACTGTTGACTGTAAAACAAATCTGCTTTGTAAATTTACAACCAAAGCGCACACACACACACACAAATCCCAATAAATACCTCTGTGGTAGGAGAAGAATGGAAAGAGGAATACAGATAAATTTATTAGTTAAATACTGATTTTACAGCCATTTCACCTTAAGACCATGTTAACAGGTTTGTGGGTTAGGGTAGGTATATTAGGGTAGCCTTCACGGAAGAAAACAATGTAAATAATGATTAAAACAAAATCTTATCTTAAAGATATTCTCTGCTACAGCCAGTAGGATTTGGGGTTTGGGGACTGGGTGCTTTAGGGTAGAACACAGTAATGCCACAGTCAGCTACAGCTCTGTTGATAACACGGAAGGAGGAGTCTTCATGAGTCCCGAAGTCACTGGCAGAAAATGAGCAACATGGAGAGAAGTAGGCCAATTCCTGAATAGCTCAGAGCAGGAGATTCTCAAGACCTACCCTCAGTGTTTTTTCTTATTGGTCATCTTCTTTCTTTCCATGAGATTTGTTTTGCCTTATTTGTTTTTAAAACAATCTCTGGTTTTTCACCTTTTGGACAAAAGATTTCCAGTGGAGAAAAGATGCAGGTCCAGGTGTTCCACGCCCTCTGTCTGACCAAGAGGCACATCCCCAGAGAAAAATGGCGGCATGAGCAGGATCAGAGAGCAAGTGAGCCAGAGTCCACTCAAAGTCCTGGGCCCCCCAGCACGATGCTGGACCCAGCCAGGGGGATCATGGCCACCAGACATTCTCTGCAGAAAGGTCTCAAGACTTACATGCGTGTTTGTGAAACTTGCATTAGCAGCAGAACAGTTCTGTTCTTACTCAGAACCCCTGTGTATGTGATGGGGTATATGAAGGGTTTTTTGGGGGTGGTATGAGCTGGCTGCTGTTAGGCTAACTACTGAGTTCTCGTTTTGCTGAGGGAGACACATGTACAAGCTGAAAGCAGAGCTCAATCACGCAGAACAGTAGGCAGGATTTTTATTTTAAGAGGCCTTGGGAGTGAAAAGAAGGAGGAAAAGGATGAGACCATTAGCAGGCCAAAGGGCTTTTGGGGAGGTGAAGTTGTGATTTTGATGAAGTTATACTGTGTGCTGAATGAAGTAACTCTCTCCTCCATCTCCCTAAGAAACATTCAGTAACATCTTCATTACACCCAGTATTTTTGGAGTCGGATTTGGTACTGGGGATGCAAGGATGTGCCAAGCCTCAAGGGGAGTGTTGGGCAAGAGCAGGGGCTGTCCAAATTACATGTAAAACAGATACTCTAGTTCAAGCTGGGCAGGGTTCCCAGAGCCCTGCCCCCTCCACCCTCCCTCAGATCCCTGGTGCTGAAAGTATAATTTAAAAACGACTATCTTAGGCCACAAGGAACCCTGGTGGTACAGAAGTTAAGTACTCAGTTAACTGTTAGGCTGTCAGTTCGAACCCTCCAGCAGCTCCTAGTGATCTGTAAAGATTACAGCCTAGGAAACCCTATGGGGCAATACTACTCTGTCCTACAGAATTGCTATGAGTCAGAATTGACTTGGCAGCACATAACAACAGCAACAACCTGAGGCCACAGTGGGAGAATGGTAGGGAGAACATCTTATCTCTTGGAGGGGGCTGAGCAGAGAGCAGAATGAGAAAGAAGAGTCTCTAACTACATGGAAGAGACTTAGTGTGTTCTTGGTGAAGGGTGTGGTTCTTCAGTATCAGAGTCCAGGCTCTTTCCAGTTCCCCTACCTTGAGAAGGTATCTGATAAAATTCAACATCCCCTGCCCCTAACCAAATCATGGACTTCAAGTTTCTTCCCAATTGTTCTTCTGGAGTCATTCCCAGACAGAGGAGGCTGGCCACGGAGAGCCCAGAGCCTCAATCTCTGCTGTCCTCCAAGTCCCAAGTCTGTGCAGGAATTTGAAGAGGGAAGGAGGTGTGATTAGGCAGTGATTATGTCCCCGTGGTTATCAGCCAAGACCAGGCTGTTCCAAGAGTCCTGCTTGGAGGTGGCCTGCGGCGACTGGCTAACAGAAGAGGCGTAGCCTTGTGGGGAGAGCTTCAGGGCTGAGAGGACTGGGTGGATGGAGGGCCCGTGGCCAGACATCGCACTGACCGAGAAAGTCTGAAAGCAAAAAGTGACAGATGAGGTAAATGGAATCACTCTTGAGGGTGTTAGCTTAAGAGGTGAGTCCCATTACACAGATGTCCCCACCATGCCTCCAATCCCTATAAAGGGATGAGAGGTCTGTTTGTCAAAGGACAAGGGCAGGACAAAGAACCAAGGAGCATTTCTGTTTTTCTTACCCCTCTGTGCTCTTGGAAGAAAAGGGTCTGAGTGATTCATCAGCCATTTCTGATGCACAGTACACAAACAGGGCTATGATCCAGTGGTTTGAGCCACAAGGTGACTACTCTGGTTTCTCCAAAGGGTCTGATGGGTACATGAGATATTTTGTACACTCTTATCCCCATCAGTTCTCTACTTTGAAACAGAGAGGCCTTTCTCCCCACTCAGAAAGGGCTCCTGGCTCTTCTGATTCTATGGGACCAGCTTCCTATTCAACCTGACCGCTCTTTAGGACATTGGAATTCCCTCAAATGAGTAAAGAAGAGATCAGAGAGTGGCCATTAATGGGAGTCCATGACAAACTTTGGGAGCATTGATCCCCAATGAGGGGAACCACAGAGAGAAGGGGATGGGGGAGCAGGGATGCTGCCATTTCATCTATAAGATGGAAATGAGGGTACTGTTGATCCATCCTCTGGACCTCCAAAGGAAACTGGACCCACCATTGTCCCTCATTAAAACAGCATTCTGCCTCCTTTACCTTGGGACCAGATGAATTGGATGGTGCCTGGCTACCATTATTGAACATTTTAATCAAAGAAGCTATAAAAGAATCCTGTTCAAAAGGGAGAAAATGCAGAACCAAATTTAAAATTCTCTTGGAATCTAGACACTGTGGAGCCATGGAGGCTGGATAAACCCTTAAACCAAGATAATCTTTAAGCCTTAAACCAAAAGTATACCCTGAAGTCTTCTTAAAACCAAACAATAGTTTAGCTTAACTATTAAAGAATGTCTGCCTTACGCATTGTGCTCTTTTAAGATCTATCTATAAGGGATCTAACTGACAATAGCAACTTGGAAGATTAGATAGGAAACTTAGGAGGCAGTGAGTTTATGTTAATGGGGGAGGAACACCTCGGAAAAGGAGGGTAAGAATGGTTGCACAACTGGAAGAATGTGATCAATGTCACTGAATTGTACTTATAGAAACTGTTAAAGTTGTGTGTTTAACTGGGTATATTCTTAGTAACAAAAATCAATTATTAAAAAAAGCCAAAAATAACACTCTCACTTCTTCACCAGTCCCCCAACTTACCCACCCACCACCCTGACTCTCTACCCATGCCAGGAGGGTTCTCCTTCCCTCTTTTAAAACTCTACCCATCCTTCAAGGCCAAGATCAGACTAGCCTTCATTTCAGAGAGTAGACTTGCCTAGAGATCCCCCTCCTCAGCTTCCTACTTCCCTCTTACAGTTTTACATCAGCCTCCCCTAACCGCAACACACACAGTCTGATTCAGGTTGTAGTTGTGTACTATCTTCCTACCCCTCACACTGTGTGCCACCCTGACATCTCCTTCTGTGTCTCCAAAGATCTTGGCATAGAGTAAACCAAAAACCAAACTCTCTCCCATGGAGTCAAATCTGACTCATAGCGACCCCTGTTGGGTTTCTGAGGCTGTAAATCTTTACGGAAGTAGGTGACCCCATCTATCTTCTGTGGAGCAGCTGGTGGGTTTGAACCGCTGACCTTCTGGTTAGCAGCCAAATGCCTTATCCACTATGTAAAAAATGTGTGTTTTGAAGTTGTGTGTCTCAACTCATTGCAGCTTGATAAAATACACTCAAGCAGGCAGCCCATGGGCTCAGGTGAAGCACCAAGGGTACTGAGCAACTCTGCTACTGGCGATTTTCAGCCCAGCTGGTGCAGCTCAAGGAGCTCTGGTGACGTAGTGCCTAAGGCATTTGACTGCTAACCAGTAGGCTGGCAGTTCAAACCTACTAGCCACTCCTCAGAAGGAAGACTGGGCAATCTACTTCCATGGTGATATACCACCTCCTCCCTCGGGAACCCAATCCGACTCAACGGCAGTGAAAGTTTTTGGTTTTTGGTGCACCTCAGAGCCTGCCACCTGCTGGAGGCCTGGCAGACTTGCATGGTGCAAAGGCTACCTATACTTAGTCAACTGCCCCACTTGAGGTCCTGCCACCGCTGCCCACTGGGCATACCTGGGACATGGGGCTGGTATGCCCATAATGAGATGACAGCCCAGGCTCTGTCTTGATGGGACGCATCTCTTCACTGCTAGTGGTGGTTGCGCTGTTGGAGTTGCTGGAAGCGCTGCTGGTGGGAGGAAGGCTCTCACTGCCCGAAGGACCTGGAACAAGGCAGAGTCAGGACACCCAGACCAGGGGCAGGGATAAATGGATGGCAGTCCTTTGAGACAGCCTGGATAGGTCTGTGCTAACAGCTTTATTTACATTTCTGGGGAGAGAAGCAGAGTTCCTTCATCAGTGTAGGGCAACATATCTCGAAATGGGGCAGAAGTACTAGAATTTCAAGGGGAGTTTTTCAAATGGCAGGCTCACCAAACCTTATCCCAAACCCTTGGGACTACATGTATTTCAGGATTCAAAACTTTTGGGACATTAAAAGTGCAAATCACAGTATATTACATAATAGTCCCAGTGGGATATGAGAAAATACCCTGTTATTAAATACATTCGTATTTCTCTAGCAAAACATATCAATATTTATACTAAGTGGGATAAATAAAGACTATAAATAGCTTTGGATCTGTTCAGATTAGGTTTGCTGACGATTCTAGCTTTCTGGATCCAGAATTGTGGAGAAGGAATTGTGGACCTAAAGAATGACACACCTGCTCCCCTTGTGATGGCTACATCTGAGGAAATGGGATTACACAGGGGAACATGCTGCAGTTATCAACAGTGTGGAAGTAGGGAGATCCTGAAAGCTCTAGTAAGAACTATGACTGCTAGGAGGAGTAAATCTCTGTGAAGCCTCGAAAAGTAACACTTTGGTCATGTCTCAGCGGTGGAAAGGGGCAATTTATCTGACTTTGTCATGCCTTTCATTAGAAGATACTTTCCATTCATATCAGCTAATTTATTTTCTTTGTGACTGTAGTGTTTACCAGTCAAATTTTGGATTTGGTAGTAGTACCAAGCTGGTAATGCTCTTGATAGGGGACACAAGGAGTCTTCATTTTCAATGTAGAATTTAAGAAAGTAGAGTGGTATTTTGAACAGATGATCGACCCCAAAATCTATCTAAAAATTGGGCTTTAATTCTGGATCTACCCATTAGTATTTTTTGACTCTGGTTGAGTCATTTGCCCTCTCTGAGCCTCAGTTTGCTCAGTAAAATGGGCAGAATAAATTGGGTCTCATGGTCCTCTTGGGAGGATCATTGAGATGTTTATGAAGAAAATCCCTAAAGGAAAAGTTGTTATTATTAGTTACCACTGAGTCAGTTTTGACTCATGGTGACCCCATGTGTGCAGAGTAGAACTGTTCATGAGGTTGTTCAAGACTGTGAGCCTTTTTGGAAGCAGACCACCAGGCCTGACTTTTAAGGCACCTCTGGGTAGTTTTGAACCGTCTGTTAGTAGCCTAGGAGCTCTGGTAGCATAATGCCTAAGGCACTTCACTGCTAACCAGAAGGCTGGCGGTTCAAATCCACCAGCCACTCCTTGGAAGGAAGGTTGGGCAATCTACTTCCCTAGTGATACTGCCCTGGCAACCCAAGGAGGGGTCACTATGAGTCGGGTCCGACTCGACGGCACATAACAATTAGTAGCCTAGTGTGTAATTATTTCTGCCACCCAGGGACTCTTACAATACACATATATAATGTTAATTATACTATGGACTACAAATTTGTTGTGAATGTAATTAATGTGATACTGTCTTCCTAGATCCCAGTTAACTTAAGGAGAACTGAAAAGAGTTGAGTTCTGAGGCGTGTGTGAGTGCATGTGCACATGTGTGTATGTGTGTGTGGGTGCATGTGTATGCTGGGTGGGCTGAGTTGAGCCTAGCTCACATGTTCCCAGTATGTCACATGATGCTGTTACTTTGTTTTTCTGTCCTCTAGCAGCCTGAGGTAGCCTATCTAGCAAAGAATACAATACAGGTATTATCACATGCTGAGAGCTACTGAATTATTCATAAAATCATAATATATCTTTTCCTCACCTGCTGGTGTCTTAGATTTATTAAGGTTCTTGGGCTTCCGTTTTCTGGTTTGAATTCCCTCTTTCCTCATCGCAAGAGGCCTGGGGACCTAGGAGAGCACAAGACAATGTACATATGGTTTTCCATTTCTATATAATCTGCTGTAGTATTTAAGCATATACATGCACACACACATACATTATGAGAAGGCAATATCTAAGCAATCAGTCTATGAACTTTAGGCCTGAGGCTGTGTGAACAGACCCTTGGAACACTCCTGCTGAGAAAGAAGTCAATGCTATTTTTAAAAATGTACTGAGCACCTACCTATATATTATATACTAGGTATTATACTGCACATTGAAGAAATAGAGAATTAAAGACATAGTTCCCTCCCTAAGAGGTTTGCAGGCTTGTGGGAAGGACAGACAAGTAGAAGAAAAAAAAAATACTAAAGAAAAGCAATCCTACATCAAAGACATGAGAAGGGAATAGTTAAGAGAAATGCACTAATGTAAGTGAACTTGCCTCCCACTCCTATTCGGGAGTCCCTGGATGGTGCAAATGATTAACATGCTTGGCTGCTAGCTGAGAGGTTTACCAGTTCAAGTCCACCCAGAGGTACCTCAGAAGAAAAGCCTGGTGATCTACTTCTGAAAAAACAACCATTGGAAACCCTATGGAGCACAGCTCTACTCTGACACACATGGGGTCACCATGGGTTGAGGTGACTTGATGGCAGCTGGCACTGGTACTCTTACTCTGTTGAAGAGTCAGATGAGGCAAAATTCCCACTTCCCACCCTTAGCATCTCAATGTGGCTCTACCCATACCCACTATCCTTTCCCACCTTTGGAGGAAGGTGTCTTCCCTCAACACCTTGCAGGCCTAACCAGGTCCACTAGAAGCCCATCCTTACTCCAGATGAATCTTGCCCTCATGTCTATCCCCACCCATCTCAGTATGCTTTCAGATGAATCATAGTTCTTCCCATGTGCAGAGGTCACACCTGCCTTAAAAACAATTTTGAGACTGCTGCTTCTTAGCCATATCCTACTGTCTTATACTTTTCATTTAGAAAGTTCTTCTCGACAGGTGATAGGCCCGCTCCTGCTTCCTTGCTCCCCTTCCTCTACTGCTATATACAAGGGCACCTCTACTGTATCTAAACATGGCTGACTCCTTTCTTCTGCAGTGTCATTATCAAGTGACTCCTCTTGACACCATCTTCTGTCTTACTTCTTTCTCCTCTTCATATATCTCCTTCCAAGAATTCTTATGGCTGGTTCTCTCTGAACCTTTTGATCTTCTTTCTATACGAAGCACTTTCTTTAGTTTTAAACTTTTAAGTCACACAAATAATTCATGAAATCACTCTTATTATAAAAGATTTAAACATACTGGAGTATGAAAACATGATATGATCCTTCATTTCCAGTCCCTTACCTCCCACTCTGTTTTCTAATTTTTAAAATCTTCTTTTTTAAAACATAAATTTACATGCATAGAAATAGATAAAGATATTTCCTGTATCACCTAATTGGGAATCAGACTACACTAACTGTTCAGGTCTGGCTTTTCATTCAATGATAAATTTTGGAGAACATCCCATTTTAGTACAGTTAGATCTATCTCATTCTTTTTAATGGTTCCCCTATTAGTTTCTTTTACCATTTTCCTACTGAAGAACAATGACTCCTTTAACCATTTCCTCCTCAAAAGTTTTTTCCTACTTTTTCACTGTTACAGTGATTCAACAAACATCCTTATACACAATTCTTTGCAGATGTAAATGTATTCCTTATGATCTTTCTCACTATATTTTTAGCCTTTTTTAAAATTATAACAAGAAACCAATAGAAAGATGTCTGAATATTAAGTTAGTAACAACCTCCACCCCCAGTCCTTTGCCTGTGAAGCCACTGGTACCAACAACCTAGTATGTATGCCTATATTTCCCTATACATGTATTTATGTGTTCATCCATATGTACTTGTATGTGTGTGTGTGTGCGTGCTTAATGCACCCCTCAATCCCAGATGGGGTTATACTGCACATACTACTTTGTAATGTTCTTTTTCATTACTTCCAATCAAGACATAGAGCTCTAACTTTTTTAAAATTTCTGCATAATATCCCACATTATGGTATAAGTCATAATTTATTCGATTCCCTTGTTGGATATTAAGTATATATCTAGGTTTTGCTGCTACAAAGTCTATGGCAATAAACAACTCAAACATGTATTTTCATTGTATGTAATAAAAACTTATACATATTATAACTTTTTTACTGGCTCTCTCTTTTTACATATATATATAAGCTTGTTGTTGTTGTTATGTGCCGTTGAGTCGGACCCAACTCATAGCGACCTCTCCTTGGGTTTCCGAGGCAGTATCACTACGGAAGTAGACTGCCCCATCTTCCTTCCAAGGAGTGGCTGGTGGGATGGAACTGCCAGCCTTCTGGCTAGCAGTCAAGTGCCTTAGGCACTACACTACCACCTTAGGCACTATGCTACCCAAGCTCCTTATATATAAGCTAGTTTCTCAAAAACAGCTGCTAGATCAAAAAGTATATGTTTTTATCTTCACTAGGTACTACCAGGTTAATTTTCTGAAGGAGTAAATATAGTAATTCACATATAGATTAACATTATAGAAGAGTGTCTATTTCTCCAAACTTGCATAGCACTAGATACCATGGTGGCATAGTGCCTAAGGCACTTGACTACTAACCTGAAGGTTGGTGGTTCAAATCCACCAGTCACTCCTCGGAAGGAAGATTGGACAATCTACTTCCATAGTGATAATGCCTTGGAAACCCAAGGAGGGGTCGCTATGAGTCGGGTCTGACTTAACAGCACATAACAACAACAACAAATACTGTGACACATTTTAATTTTTGCCAAACATATGGGTGAAATAGAGAATATCATAGTTGTTTTAATTTACATTTCCTTGATTTTCAGTGAAGTCAAGCATCTCAGGACACGTTTAATGTCTGTCTGGATTTCTGTGAGTTGTCTGTTCGTTTTATGCATTTTGGGAGGTGGGAGGGAGACTGACTGTCATTTTCTTAATAGTCTGTGGATCTCTTTGGTTTATTTATTTATTTGTGATTTGGGTGAAAATTTACATAGCAAATGAGTTTTCCATTCAACAATTCGTACACACCTTTTGATTTGTGACATTGACTGCAGTCCCTACAATATAACAGTGCTCTTCCAGCTTCCTCCGTGTGTTTACCATTTCCATTCATCCTTCTTTCCTACCCCTTCCTGCCTTCTGAGCTTTAATCCTGGGCAAATGCTGCCCTTTTGACTTTGTATGGTTGGTTTTTCTAAGGAGTGCATAACTCCCTGGTGTTACTGTTCACTGTATAAGCCTATCTGCTGTTTGGCTGAAAGGTGAGCCATAGAACCTGTGGTTTTGTTTTCCTTATTTTGTTTTAATTTATATTTGAGTAAGTAAGACTTCCTTATGGACCATCTAAAAGACAAAAAAAGTATACACAATGATAAAAACTTCTCTCTAACCCTAGCTCTCTAATCACCCTGTTCCTTTTTCTACAGGCAACCCATGTTACCAATTTTTCTCACATATCTTGCCAGAGATATTCTATGTAGGTATGTATGTATATGTATGTGTGTGTGTGTGTGTGTGTGTGTGTGTGAGCAACTACATATAAATGATTCTTTTCCTCTTTGTATATAAAAATAGCACCATACTATGTAAACTGTTCTGCACAAACAAATGGTATTTTTTAACATTATATAATGAAGATTGTCCCAAATCAGAACATAAAAAGCTTCTACAGAGCTTAAAGCTGCTTAGAGGCTCTGTATATTACTAGAAATACTAATCTTTCTTCTGACATGTGTGTATTGGTTTATACTTTCTTTAAATGTCTTTTTCTATACACTAATTTTTTAAAAATATATATAATCAAGTATATCTAACTTTTCTTTTACACCCTAAGAGTTTTTAAAACTTACTTAAGAAGTTCTCCTCCCATCCCCAAGGTTATATAACTATTGCCCCCTACCCCTACATTTTCTTCTAGTATTACTCCCTATTAAAAGTGCTTTACATTTATTATCTTTAATTCACCTAAATTTACTTTTGTTTATGGTAGGAGGTTGAGATCAAGCTTTGTTTTTGTTTTCTAGATGAATATCCAATTATGTAAGGCACTTGACTGCTAACCAGAAGGCTGGCGGTTCAAACCCACCAGCCACTCCTCGGAAGGAAGGTTGGGCAATCCTACTTCCGTAGTGATACTGCCTTGGAAACCCAAGGAGGGGTCGCTATGAGTCAGGGCTGACTCGACGGCACATAACAACAACAACAACAACATTATTCTTAAGCAAGCTATCCTGTTATGAACTAAATTGAAACGTTGCCTTTGTTATATCATGTTACTATATGTAGACTATTTCTGAATCTTAAGATTTATGCAATGTGAGAGGTGGAAGAGACCAGCAAAAACTCTTAAGGTCCCCTCCAAATCTAAAAATCTTTGTTAGGAAGAAGAAGGAAAAGAAAATTACAGTCTGAAGGAGAAAATGTAGAAGTGAGAACTGAGTGATTGGAAATGATCAAGGTAGTCACCCTGCCTGGCAGGAGCTGGGAGGCTATGCGAGGAGGAGTAGGATCTACTTACCCCATGGAGTTTCATGTAGAGGCCACAGGCATTGCACACGGGCTCACCCTCTGCGTTGCGGCGCCACAGAGTGGTGGTGGTGGTCTGGCAGTTAGCACAAGAGAGGCCCACTCGCCGGGAGGCCGACTGCAACACAGGAAACAAACCCTTCAAAGTCAAATCAAAGGTAGGCTTTCCTACTCTGCTACTTCATCTGGAACTCAGGGGAGCTAGGACTTCCTGAAATGAGTGGCAGAGTTAGTCACAATAGTCCTATGTGAGAATCAGACCAGGTAGTGGGCCAGATTCTCTTCTTACCTAAGCCACTCCTAGAGATGAATGAGAGCAGAGACTTCTGCTGCAAGAGAAGAGTGAATTTGGGCACTGAACACTTGGTTTCTAGTCCAAACTGTGGCACCTGTTAGTCATTCGACTTCAGATGAATAACCAAGTAAACACAGAAAAGCTTCTCTAAAAAGTAGAATTAACTTTGTCTTCAGTGGAGATGCTCCAAGGTGCCAGGTAAGGGTGGGCAGGAGATTATTGCATCCAAGAGTCATCAAGGTCTGGGATGGGCCTTGGGATCACAAGAAAGGGAAGTATTGGGGTTATGTTTCTCCCTCCATTATATACACAAGAGCTAGCTGATGTTGATCAAAATCAAAGTAAAGTAGAAAAGACCAATGAACCAGGAGTAAAAACTCTGCATCCCAGCCCCAATTCTAGCCTCTTCTCCACCTACAGGGCCCTATCCATCCTGCTTACCCTCCTGAGCTTTGGGTTTTAACAACTTTAGCCACTGCACTATCAGAACTTCTTACTGAACAGCCTCTGGGGTTAACCCTCCTCTTAAAGTTTATGTGAATACAAGAGATACAAAAGACAGTCCTGGATTGGGAACCAGGAAGCCTGAATTCTGGTTCCAAATCTGAGATTCTGTCTATGTTACCATAGGCAAGCCCCTTAGCTTTCCTGAGCTTCAGTTTTCACTTCTGTATATTTAAGTGGTTGAACTAGATGGTCAGGAACATCCTTGTAGCTCAAGCTAATGCTAAAGGTATGAAAAATTACTGTTTCTCCCTATTCACCACCTCACCCCTCAACCAACACTTTAAAATAGTGTTGTGTTGTTAGCTGCCATTGACTTGGCTCCAGACTCATGGCCACTCCAAGCACAGTGGAAGGAACCACTGCCTGGTTCTGTACCATACTCATGATTGGTCGTGGTTCAGACAGCTGTGATCCATATGGTTTTCATTGGCTGATTTTCAGAAATAGATCATCAGGCCTTTCTCCCCAGCCTGTCTTAGTCTGCAAGCTCCGCTGACACCTGTTCAGCATCCTAACAACATGAAAGCCTCCACTGTGGCTGTGTGTGAGAGGCACTGGCTGGGAATCAAAACTAGGGCTCCTACATGGAAGGCGAGAACTCTACCACGGAACAACCCACCACCCACTGCCGTTGAGTCAACTCTGACTCATAGTAACCCTATACAACAGAATAGAACTGCTCCATAGGGTTTCCAAGGCTGCAGATCTTTATGGAAGCAGACTAAATGTTTCTCCCATGAAGCTCTGGTGGGTTCAAACCACCAACCTTTAGGTTAGCAGCTAAATACTTTAACTACTGCACTATCAGAACTTCTTACTGAACAAATACTGTTCTCATTTTTAAAGTGCAGGTGACTTGAATTCCAAAATTTGAAATCAGAGAAGTTCCAGATAACCCACTGAGGCAAGAGTCCCGAACAAGGTCCTGAGAAGCAGCTCCAGAAGTCTGGCCATTCAGCAGGCTGCTGGACTTAAGGAATTTGAGGGACTTTCTTACCAGCCGGCGCTGGGGCTTGATGAGGGGCCGGTTGATGCCATTCATCTTGTGATAGAGGCCACAGGCATTGCACAGGTAGTGCCCTGTCCCATCTCGCCTCCAGAGGGGGGTGGACATGGCCCCACAGTTGACACATTCTCTGCCTTCTGAGAAGTCATCAAACATATCTACTGAGTGAGAAACAACAGGAGAAAAATACAGAGGATTAACTTTTTGTTTATGCCAACAAATCTTGTGTCTGAGAATCCAAAGATCAAAGAAATAATGCCTTTTTCTTGGAAGGAATAGTTTCTTCCAGGAATGCAAGATCACCTTGGTCTGTTCTCACTCTTCCTCACTGTGGCCTCAACTCAGAAGGCTATGGTGGGAGGTGGGTGGACTCCCCCTGATCATGACAAAGGGAAGGAAGTCAGCAGCAGTCACCAGGGGCCTGGAGCTGGGGGCCAACATCTGGATTTTAGTCCCAAATTCTCATTCAGAGCCTAAAGCCTTGATTGAGGTTCTCGCCTAACACCAAGGTCTGCTCAGAACTTCTTTCTCTCTTCTCTTTCAAAATTAAGATTGCTTTCCCCTTTGAGTAAAAATATAATAAATATTTACTTTAGGAAAATCAGAAAATTCTGAAATGTGCAAGAACAATATAGATCATATATGACCCTAAAACCAAAGCTTATCAGTGTTAGCATTTTGTTCTATCATGTCCTTTGTAATGCTTTTTATATTGGCACATGCTTTTTCCTAGTTGAGGTCAAGTATATAAAATTTTGAGCTTGTTTTTCACTTAATACCAAAGCATTTTACCATGTTAGAAATTCTTCATAAACTCATTTTAAGGCAGTACAAAATTCTGTCATATAAATGTGTCATCACTGAAATTCTGTCATTTAACTATTACTTCCAATTTGTGTTTTATAAATACTGTTCATTTTTGTGCATAAAGTTTTACAGTTCTAATTATTCTTTAGGATGATATTCTCCTAGAAGGAGAATTACACAAAGTGATTTTTTTAAGTTGTTGACATTTTTCAAAACGCTCTTCAGAAAGGCTATATCAACTTATTTCATTAATTCATTTTCTCCATTTTAATGTATCTGAAACAGGGACATATCTTATGCTGTATCATAGTTTAACTAGCAACATTTTTTCTTGCTTATTGGCACACAAAATAAAAGTGCATCTTTTAAGTGCATCTTACAAATCTACCAGAAGAAAGTTGCTATCAGTTGTCACTATACTGCATCAGTTAAATATCCCTGCCCCTCCCATCATCTTTATGTTCCATTTCTATAGAATTTTGCAAGTAAAAATTCCATCTACATCATTTTAGTTCTTTGAGATAGGCTGGGCCAGTTTTCTTATTCCATATCCTCTCTATGTACAGGGAGCTCTGCTGGCATAGTGCCTAAGGCATTTGATTGCTAACCAGAAGGCTGGCGGTTCAAATCCATCAGCCACTCCTCAGAAGGAAGATTGGGCAATCCACTTCCTTAGAGATAACACCTCAGAAACCCAAGGAGGGGTCACTATGAATTGAATCAACTCAACAGCAGTGAGTTTGGTTTTGGTTTTCTCTATATACAGCCTGGCTTAAGCCTTTCAGAAGTCCCTTCACTCCTGAAAACTTTTTATATCCTATGCAAACTTTCTATCACAAAGCACAGCTGTCCTGGTCTCAGATCTTTCTTGTCCTACTGCCAGAGGCAAGGGTGATTTCTTCAGTGAAGGGGACACTAATAGTGTTTTTGAGAGCTCTTTGTCCATTGGAACCCAGCCCTGGGGTTTAAGGTTGCACACTCTGGGTGTCCTGTGGCCCAAGTACTTGTTCTCAGAGGAGTGGGCTGGAGCAGAGGATAGGTGAGGGAGCCCTACCCCCAACTCTGGGTACATAAACAGTCATTTGCACCTGCAAACAGGTAGCTGTATGTCTACACCAAGTAAACAATGTGCAGGTGTGAGGGGCTATTTGCTCAGCCCAGGAACTGAGCACACACCAGTCACAAGAGAAGCTATTTTTGCACCTGGGTTGCACTGAGAACCCTCCTACCAAGGTCAGCACCTGTCCACAGTTTGCTACCCCAGCCTGGGAGGCATGGATTGAGCAACAGCCTGGAACACCAGGATGGAAACCATCATCACAACCACAAGCCATGTGCCGCCCTGTATGTGGCCGGTCAGCCCCTCTCCCTTGAACCACAGACCCTCCCGTGAGGAAACTAGAAAGGCCAGTGGAGTTCAAAAAAGGACCTTATTAGACAAAGTCCCCCTTTACCCCACTACATGGTCCCCCAGGGAAGTACTAGTAATATAGCTATTTTGGGGGTGTTTGCAATCAACACTAGATGGCACTACAACCTCAAAATTGAACCAAGACACTGTTAAAAGCCCTAGAGGACTTCTTTTAGATAACTAACTCAGTGGTTAAAGTACTTGGCTGTGAACTGAAAGATTGATGGTTGGACCCCACCAGCCACTCCATGAGAGAAAGATGTGGCAGTCAGGTTCTGTAAAGATTACAGCCTTGGAAACCCTATGGGGCAGTTCTACTCTGTCCTACAGGGTTGAGTTGGAATCAACTGAACAGCAGTGGCTTTGGTTTTGTTTTCCAGTCCAAACCTAGTGCAACCCTCTTAATTCTATTTCTCTTTATTGCGGAAAAATTTAAACATAATCAAATGTACACAGAATATAAAAATGAACTCTTAACTACCCATTAGCCTCTAACCATTTGTGTTCAATTTTGTCTCATCTATGCCACCATCCACTTTCCCTCATGCTGAGTTTTTAGAAAAATATCAGACATTCTATCATTTCATTCATAAATATTTCAGTATGTCACTCTGAAAGATAGACAATTTTCTCCTATTAGAGATAAGCAAACAGTGTTCTATGTTCATGTTTATATAAAGAAGGCTCCATAGACATAATCTCATAATTCATTCCTCATTTTTGAAGAGGTGATTCCCTTTTTTCTTCACACTGATTGTTTTATAATATATGTGATACCAGAATCCCATTAAACAAGCTACCCCAGAAATCCTTCAAGGTCTCCTTGCTACAATTTCTCACCTCCCAGGGCCTTGAGAAAATGCCTTCACACTCACTCAAAGAATGGATTACACATTCAAACAACTATTTTACTGGCCAGGTAAAGGCACTGGAGGTTGGCAAATATGTATTTATCAGCAACAAATATTTACTGAGCATCTGCTACTTGAGCATTCCAATAGATGCCACTTGAGTTACAAGGGAAACTAGCTCTCAGAATCCTAATGATATAGTTGGGTGAATTGGACCTGAATACCAATAATGATTAACAGTATTGCTTAGTTCATTTTTGGAACACAACTGAGTTGGAGACTTGGGTGACAGACACTTCTTGGCTAGAGTATGGAAGTCTGATCTAGGGCCTTGAGTGAGATAGAACACTTGATCAAGTGTTTTAATAGCAGCCAAAGGAAGGCTCTGGATAAGAGGTGAAGGCCATGCTTCATAAAGACAACCATATCTACCCACAACTCATTACCACCTGCAATGTGCAGATGTTTCCGTATTTTCTAAACAAAATTGTGCCATCCAATCTGCTCAATAAAATGGTACATAAAAATTTTAAATGATTATTACAAAAATAGTATAACAATAGAAGAAAATGCTTACTCCTTACTCTATAATGTTAAATGAAAAATGCAGCACACAAGAAGGCAAATACACCATGATGGTAGCTAAGACTATCAAGAGGAATCTCTGTTAAGCTAAATTGAGTGGACTCTTTTTTAAAAAATTAAAAAAAAAAAATCCTGTAATATCATAATTGCTTACTTTAGAAAATCTGATAAAAAAAATAAAATTTAATCACTCCATGTGGTTCCCACTGCACAATGAAGGCACTATTTTGTCTTCTTCCACCTGACGTGTGCTTTTCTTCCCTTAGACTGAAGAATGGAGAGGAAAATGTTTAAAGCTACTGCTTAGCACCTACCAGCAATAACATCCTGTGTGGACCTTTGTGAACAACCACCTTTGATTTCTTTACTGGAAATGCACTGGGCTGAGCTTCCCAGCCGGCAAGTGGGCAAGTGCGGAGTAGGGAGCAGGGTACAGGCCGCAGCTCTGATATCTGACTCATGAAAGTCCCACCCAGTGCTGGGCAATGGGGGGATTGGTCCAGCTACTTATTTGACAGTGGGAATCTAACTCTCGGAAGTGGGTTAGCATTACCCTACATTCAGAGGAAAACTTGTAAGAATAGTTGTAAAGTACTTTGCAAATAAGAGGAAAAACTTACAACAATGGCTGTAAAGTGCTTTGCAAACACCAAATGAGATAACAATGATGGATTATTGTTAGGAGGTTGGGGCTGGAGGGGTTGAGAGGGAATGGAGAAGACCAAGAACAAACCTTTGTGCTGGGTTATTGGGGTGGGGGAGTAGATAAAAGAGCTAGGAGATTTGGGAATCTGACCTTTTCTTAAACCACTGGGGCTAAGATCAGAATTCCAAGTAGCACTCAGAATTGGCAACTGTGAGACTAAAAGCAGGAAACTGGCGTCAAGGTTGACAGCTTATACAGTTTATGCTTCTGAGGTCTCAAAATATATTAATTAACAACAACTTTAGTAATCAAATAAGGAGCTCTGGTGGTGCAGTGGTTAAGGCATTTGGCTGCTAACCAAAAAGTCAGTGGTTCAAACCCACCAGCTGCTCTGCAGAAGAAAGATGAAGCAGGCTGCTTCTGTAAAGATTTACATCCTTGGAAACCCAGTGGGAATTGCTATGAATCAGAATTGACTCGATGGCAGTGAGTTAGTTTGGTTGGCAATCAAATGTACAAACCTAATTAATTGTGATTTGATTGGCAGCTGAAAATCACCAGCCACTCCTTGGTAGAAAGACGGGGCAATCTACTTACATAAAGATTTACCCCCTCAGAAACCCAATGGGGATGACTATGAGTCTGAATCAACTAGAAGGCAGTGGGTATGTTTTTTTTTGTTTTTCTTTAATCCTAGTAATGGGGATTTAATGCTGCCTTTTCATCCATGCCCCACTTTAAAAAAAAAAAAAAAAAAAAAAAAACTAGGATGGAAACAAATTCAGTCTGATTTTCTAGGTATCCAATTTAGTACGCATATTCCTTATTCCTTGAAATTAAGACAACCTACCCCACCCAAGT